CGGTTTTCATCCGATCGTTGGCATGCGCGACTATCCGGAGATCCTCTAGATGGCTCTACCTGTCTCAAACCGGACAGTCGAATGCCAGTCGAGATCAAATGTAAGGATAAATACTGCTTAGTCAGAGCGTAGCAAGTGGTACGTTATTCCGCCAAGGTATTTCTTAAATGGCACCTAGTTTATTCCAACTAAAAAAATTTATATTATTTTTATTTATTAATTATTATGCACTTTTGTTATGCGAGTAGAGACAGTATTAGATTTACTACTGCCACGTTGCTGGTGTTTCGGATTCTAGTTATTAACAAGTTGACAATTTCTTTTTTTGAATTTTCTGCGCCGAATTTGCGACCGGTACATAATCGGAATATATGCGTCTATTCAAACCCTATTTGAATTCAATTCAATTAGAAGATTTTAGGCTAGCTAGTCACTGTGCAATTTAGGAGAAAAGAATAATGTATCTTATATCTAAAATTAATTAGAAACGCAAGTTCGATTACAACCACAAGAGGTGTGAAAAACATGTCTAAGGCGTGGTCTGGCAAAGTACAAACATGATGTGATCTTGGCTAATATTTTTTTAAGAATTTATCTGACATCAACTATATCATGTTTATGATAATAGGATATCGCTACTTATCAGGAGTACGGATAAATAGGGTGAACTGTATTAATCTATATATATCGCACCTCGACGGGCCGTCTCTAATGTAAATCTTTCCCGAATCCACGCGAAAATATTTGTTCTGCCACGCCGCTGGCCGGAAATAGCCAGAGCGAGGCGTTGCCTAGCGAAGGGCGTGTCACCGACAGACACGCACATGTGCGCGGTGCAGATGTCGAAATGTAGTTCCGATCGGGACGCATGGTGGTAACTGATGAAAGCTGATATATCAACCCACTAAACGTGTATGTGTAACACATTCCTCCTTCCGTCATCCTGTTGCGATTACTCATTACTAGCAATATATATCAATTATCATATATAGCAATTGAGCAGGTTGCTAAATCATCAGAGGAACGCCATGTAACAAAATAAAAATTACTCAGATAGTCAAGATTAGCATAAATCAGTATTTAAAGTAATCAGGAGGTTCTATGAAGTAATAATTCCATCATCATGACATCACTCATTGGGGTTTTGCAGAGCAAGAATGAGCCTCTCGGTGATCCAACAGCGCCACCTTGCGACCCGGACAGCAAACTCAATCATCCACCATATCTGCCGAGTACATATCAATTATAAATAACTCTTTACGCTTCGCGTAAGCAACTACGATAACTGTACGGATATAGATAGTAACGCTATTTCTTAGAAATTTCTAATAAAATTTTCGCTCGTGTTTAATGCCAATAAAGACAAATGAAGCTGACAGTCTAACTGACCCAACTAGAGAACTAGACACTGGAGAAAATCGTACCTATTATATAAGAAAAAATGGGAAAACAAGGGCCGTAATGTCTAAACACCAACAGCCATACAATGTCATCAGGAGCGCATAAACCCTTTTACAATTTATGTTTTGTTACTTTTTGGGTTTTCTACGCTCTTGCTAACACACATTACAAAATCATTCATCGGCATTTGATAACCGATCATCGATTCGTGATGTTGCAGAGATAGGTGGCGCTGCGCTGTCAGAAGACACTCTGTGCATGGACAGCGTGCAGCACTGGGGCGACATCGAGCACCCGCACTATGACCTTCACAACCTGTACGGAACTAGCATGGCTGCGGCAACGGCAAGGTTATTATCTTTCTCTCTTTCTCTCTCTCTCTCTCTCTCTCTCTCTCTCTCCTCACCGTCGCTCGTCTCTCTCCATCTCTCTCTCTCCTCCTACTTTCTCCTCTGCTCTCCTCTCCTCTCTCTCTCGCTCACTCTCTGTCTCTCTCTCTATTCTTTTTATCTCGTCACACTCTTGTTCGCCGAGAACGCAGAGTTTTTCCTTCGAGGTCCTTTGAGGCGCTGTCAGATCGATTTTAAATTATAGATAAAATTATCATTGTTTTTAGGCCTCGCATAAGTATCTAACTACTCAATAGCCTGTAGTTATTCTGGCCTCTGGTGACTTAACGCCTATACTCCTCCATTGCTTAACGTCCTCTCCAATGACAGATCGAAGCCGATTCGAAAACACACGCCAAGAGTAAGACGATGCTACCGCCTAGAGGCGTCCTACGAACCACTAAGATGGGACGACAATCTATACCACTTATTGTCCTTAAAAACCACACCTCTCTCTCTCTACATGGTGTTATAACCGCTGTGCCCTCTACGGCACTGAGCCAGACCTGGAACTCGAAAGGCGCCTGCCCTGTTCGGTGCGGCTTTCACTTCTCTGTTCGTGTATCTTTGTCGTCTCAGCCTTTAATATTACGGACGATAACGAATCTAGGAAACCGGTAGGGGAACTGGTTGTCAGAAACCGATCACAAATAGACGCATGACTTCGAAATGTCATGAATTTACAGTGAAGTGTCGTGCAAGAAGTGTAAATTAAATAAATCTAACGTCATAGGAGTTACGATAGTCATACATTATGTATCAGTTCTGACAAACGGCACAAGAGGGCGTGCGAAAGGCTGAATCTGCTCCCTAAATCCCATCGGGAACGTTTGTGGTATCTTTGAGCGGTAGTTCTGACAACGCTCGCTCCAAAATGGGCGCAGTGACGAAAGCGCCGTCGTGCAGCACGCTGTATATGCATTCTATCACTATAGGTTTGTGGGACATAACTCGCAGCTTACGCTGTTGGATAATGGCGGCATGTCTCTCATAATTCTTGAAGCTCTAATAAGTTGCTTTATGATCTCATGAGATATCGATGTAGCGAGGTGGACGCTCTACAAATAACGACATCATAATGCACCGTGATGGCTAATATATAACGAAGCCTTCAACCATGGCCGGCAGTCCGGTGAGAATAACCTCGGCCACTGTCGTTATTCGAATACATATTTCTTCGGGCGCCAGTGCGAGTAAACTATTCAGTCTGACAAATATAGTGATTGATCGATAATAGAGCTTTTTCGTTTGAAGGGCAACGAGTGGATCTTCGGGACAAACAAGGGCCTGCTGACGTCACGATCAACGTATCCAGTGCGCGGGAAAAGTACGCCGCACGTTGCTAGCCGACAACACTCAAACTTGGCTCCCGACACATGCAACGCTCCATTCCGGCGATTCCGAGTTGGACTGTTTGGAATTCCGTACGTACGACTGACACACGTGATGAGAGGTTTTACAGATTCACTCCACACTGTATAATACCGCTATATACTAGTACCGGCTATCCGTTAGTCTGGTGAAGTAGTGCCGACTGCACACTAGCAACTAGGCATAGGATGTCACAGCGAAGCGAATTCGATGACAGTGGGAACAGCACACAGACGCGCGCTCACACACACGCATACACACACGCATACACGTTGGGCTATATCGTTTTACACCTATGCGCCGCAGACGCGCGCACACCGAGCGCACACAATACACACACGATGGCATATGCACACACCGCGCATACGCTCTTAGTATACGTGCAGTCAGGCTAGGCTGTGGGTGGGTAATATTCACGTACAAACTCGTAGAACTGCAAATTCTTCAACAAATTTATTTCCCCTTAGCCTCCCAGTTGGTGCTAGCTCTGCGGTTTCTGGAAAACGCGGAGAGGGAGTTTGCCAAGCGATAGGATGCAACTTGGCGAGCGTTCTATCGCCTGCTGGAATCATCAACGGCTCATGAACCGAAAGACGGTACGCTCAGTGCCAGCCAACATCGTACATCGTTACACACGCAGCACGTACTGGCACGCACGCACGCACGGCACGCACGCACGCACCGACGCACACGCACCGCGCCACATGCCTACGCGCACGCTCACACTAGCACACGCACACGCACAACGCACACACACACACACACACACACAACGACACACCATCACAACCAACACCACAAAACACACACACAAATGCGTACGCCGGCCACTTAACTCCGAGCATCGGTGTGATAAGTCAACTTATCTATTTCGCACAAATTTATCGCTAATTGCACAATCATCACATAGTGCGCAAAAGTTGCTGCCATGACGATATCTATACTGTTATACCGATATCTATACGACGGTTAGCTGGTTTAACCACAGATAAACCATTAGTATTAGATTAGACCATGGCTATATATATATATATATATATATATATATATTTTTTTTTTATATATATATATATTTATTTATTTATTTATTTATATGGTTTAACCTCAGCGAAATGTTTAGCTAACTACTTTGGACCGAAGATGATTCAGTTCTGACCAGCTGGGATAGGTTCTAGTTACGTGTGAAGCCACCATCGCAAACTGGTGCTATTAATAACGTTTGTTCTATAATAACCGACCCGCTGTGGAATGCGGGACCCTTATTTATAGATAGTTTCGCTTAGAAATCTCTTCAACCATAAATATTTATTATACATCACGGGATAATTTTTATACGTTTATTTATATGAAAATAATCATAACGCGCCATGCCATAATATGTAATATATAAATGTTAAAAAGTTTCAAGTGCAAAATATTGATCTATCTTGAGACAAGACTGTATGGTGGCGCGTAAAAAAAAATAAAACAGAGAATTCAAAGTAAACCGTAAAATAGTTTTACGGACGTCCAGCCAAATATATCTGACTAATCTCATTTCTTTGCACATGGCATATTCTCTAGCTTTATACGCGAATATCAATTATATGACAATTGATCCGCTATTCATAAAAAAAAATTATTCTTAATGGTTTTTCGTACGGCTATAACTATTATTGTTAATATTAAAACCTAATGAAACCCAATCATCTTACATTCGATTTATTGGCTGAAAATGATTATCCTTTAGATAAATCGAAACATGTAAAACCTGTAGACAAATTAGGTCTCACCTCTTAGCCGGATAGAGGTTTAATCTTGACATTTTTTTTGACAAGATTTTACGTGTTATTGGTACAGCCGCAGGATCCATCGTACTTTAGCGGAGACATGCAGCAGGCGAGTCTTACAGCAATGCACGTCAGATATAGTCTGCTACCCTATCTCTACACGCTCTTCCATCACGCGCATGTGAGAGGACATTCGGTAGCGCGCCCTCTATTGAACGAGTAAGTAATTAAGGGTAAGATCGTTGCGGGCAATGATCAATCGGCAAACTTATCTCCTTCGTTCCGTTGGATGTAGGTACGGAATCGGCCGAGGTGTGGTCTTATGTCTCACTATCGAAAGCCTCTAAAATAAGCCTCATCTCACCCGGGAGACTTGTAACGCTTTTCACAGAATATTTCATCACGATTATCAACAAAATATCATATTAATAAGAATAATATTATCAATAATAATAATAACAATAATAATAATAATAATAATAATAATAATAATAATAACAATAATAATAATAATAATAATAATAACGCCACGTGAAAATGTGCGCCTTTTCTTTCGGGCAGATTTTCAAATGACCCTAATACCTACGACATCGATCGTCAGTTCATGTGGGGTCCAGGCCTGCTCATTAGCCCTGCGCTTGACCAGGGTAGCACCAACGTCAGAGCTTACTTCCCACCGGGACTGTGGTACGACTATTACACTGTGAGTATGAGCTAGGAGCAGGCAACACAGAGCGTGCGGTAACTATAAACGCTGATCTGTGTTGTTCTGTGTTGTTCTGTGTTGTTCTGTGGTGTTCTGTGTGACCCGTACAGGCTAGCTATATGCAGGCGTATGCAATGCAGGGCATGACTTGTTTTTTTGTTTTTTATGTGAGCCGTGCATCGTTCCGCACTGATCTATATCTCACGCACACGCAGTTTTATTCGAGCAGGCTTCAGTGAGTTTATACGGTGCGGCGCGGTTTCCGTGCGTGTGCGTGCGCTTACGTGTGTAATTGAGCGTGCCTGTATCCGTGCGTGCGTGGGTGCGAGCGTTTGTATACACTGACGTTTAGCCACGAACGTTTGTTATTCTTCCTATAGGCCACGAAGGTGCGACAGGGACTGCGCACGTTGAAAACTCCGCTGGATAGAGTTAATATACATTTTAGGGGCGGTTATATAGTACCCGGCCAAGTCCCCGGCAACACGACGCAATTCAGGTGAGCTAGTAGTAAGTAACTTCAAGTTTATGTCTATATGGTTAAGTCATAGCGGGTGGAGGGACTCTAGTGATTAGATTCACTATTGCGACTGTATACGTAAATACGTCTAATGTATGCAAGAAATTTGGAGTAAAAAAGCAAGCAAGGAATATATATATATATATATTACCTAGAACCTATACGTGCGCACCCTTTCGCACTAACACATCTCCTGTCTAATGGACCGGGGTTTCACCCTTAGAAGCTCCATTGCGATAGAGTACATGCGTACACTTGGTGCCCCCTATCGGTTGTTACGTTGCCTGCGTAATGTGATTCGCCAGTGGCAGCTTTCTATCGTTGTAGCCGTAAGAACGTGATGCGGCTGTTCGTAGCACTAGACCACGCCGAGCGAGCTAGCGGTGAGCTGTACTGGGACGATGGTGAGACGAAAGGTACTTAATCTTTCCCAGTTCAAGGGTGTCGTACATAAAACAAATACTAAATAGAAAATGGTATGTTCAGCAAAAATCTTCTAATCCTTAGTATTTGGAACTTGGGATTTAATCTTTATTATTCACTTTAGTATCGGTAAAAGCTGTGTGAAAACGGTCTGGGTTTCTGATTTATTAGTGACGCTTGCATAATAGATTGATTTAATGTTTTATTACGGCCACATTAATTTTCAGCGCAATAGTCGTGAATATAATACGCTCGGCATTTCCGTGCCGATTTCATACGATTTGTTAAAGAACTAAAGAGTGTTAAAGAACTCTTTTCATTTTTTCGATTGTGACTGTGATTTTGTTGTAGTGAACCTACGTATTTCTTCATTTACTATTCTAGATGCATACGAGAAAGGGGAATATCTCTCTGTCAAGTTCACATGCAGTTCAGTAAGTAATGACAACCTGTAATAGTATAAGCGCGGAGACGTTTTATGGCGTATATGTGCGTGCGCGTGTGTGTGCGCGCACGCGTGTGTGCGTGTATGTGCGTGTGCGCGCGCGTGTCTGTGTGCGTGTTCGTGCGTGGTGCGTGTGTTCGTGCGTGCGTCTGTGCGTATTTGCGGGTTCGTATATTATATTACTGTAGCTAATGTATGTACTGTGGTTATTGTATGCGTGAATTCGTAAGAGCTGTATACTAATGAAGAATCTTAATACAATCAGAATAAATAGAGAAAAGCATAACTTCACATTATTATTGGTCAAACAGGACGAATATCTTATTGCTTTTTAATATACATTTAATTTACCATTCATATTGTTTTTTTCTATCGTAGAATAAACTTCATTAAAGTTGGATTAATTCAGACATACACACAGTATTCTTCTCAAATTTTCTCATCGTGAAAACTGGTTGCTATAGTAACAGTCCTGCTAATTATTTCGTATTTTCAACGACAGCCAAGGAGCCTAAAGCCAAGTTGTGTCTTACTCAATCCGCTTCACTTAGTATAGATAAACTGTGTATTAAAATCGATATGTAAAAACATTATATAAATACCAGCACGATAAACGCAGGGATCACTGAAAGATAACAAATTAAAGAGGAAAAAAAACTAGTAAAACGGCCGTCATATCTGCGGCCGCTAACAATGGCGACTGCTCGTTACCCGGAAACAGGAACAACTTAGATGGACAGCGGAACACAACTCCCTAAGGGGTGAAAGGCTGCACGTCGGTTTCATCGACATCTTGGGCATGCCGCACTATCCCCGGAGAATCCTCATAGATGGCGCGACGGTCCTCAAACCCGGACAGTACGAATGGCAGTCGAGCACAAATGTAAGGATAACTACTGCTTAGTCAGACGTAGCAGTGTACGTTTATCCCGCCAGTTATTCTTTATATCTATAACCCGTAACACCATTCCCATTGTAATACCATTCCACTATATTATAGCTTATTAAATTATATCGAATTAAATTAAATAAAATTATATTATATTTTATTATATTATATTATGCACTTTTGATTATGAGAAGAGCAGTATAGATTTCTACTGCACGTTGCTGTTTTCGATTTCTAGTTATTAACAAGTTTGTTTTTTTTTGAATTTTCCTTGGAGGTGAAGGCAGGCGCGCGAATTGGGCGACCGGTCAGAGTATATCGAATATATGCGTGCTATCAAGACCCTATTTGAATTGCGAGATTCATAGCAAAAGATTTGTAGGCTATGTCCTGGCATAAAGAAAAACGATAATTACTTTATCTAAAATTAAGTTAGAACGGCCAGTGATAAGCAAGAGGTTGTGAAAACTTCTAACCGGTGTCGAAAGTGGCAACGTGATGTGATGTGTAATGTAGAATTAATCTACACTCGAAAGCTATATAGTTGGTTATATAATAGATCTATGATATTCTAGGGAGTAGATAATAGGGAACTATGTATCTAGGGCTCCTGATATATATATGCTGTTATATAATAGGATATAATAGTGTATCATAACTAAATATGAAACATAATGATACTAGTCTTTTTGATCACACTACATATATGCGATTGATGCGTGATATACTGGATTGCTCGTGTTTTTAGCAGTTCCTCGCGGCTAAAAGCGGTTCCAGATGTATCCAATGAAGCCAGTACTGACCGTACATCCAAGGGTGGGACGTTATTGAACACGCTGTCCACAAGATGGATCTGAGTGAGCAGAGAGAGAGAGAGAGAGAGATGAGAGAGAGAGAGAGAGAGAGAGAGAGAGAGAGAGAGAAAGGAGGAGGAGAGGAGAAAAGCCGAGATATGAGAGACAGAGAAAGGGAGAGTGACAGTTGAGAGATTGGATGAGAGAGAGAAAGAGAGAGAGAGAGAGAGAAGAGGAGAGAGAGAGAGAGAGCGAGAGAGGGAGAGAGAGAGGTAGAGGGAAAGAGAGAGCAGGAGAAGGGAAGCGCGCGAGAATAGAGAGAGACGAGAGAGAGAGAGAGAGAGAGAGGGGGGGGGAGAAAGAAATAGGCGAGAGAGAAAGGTAGAGGATGAGGGGAGTGGTGTGTGTTGTCAGGGACAGAGGCGAGAGTTTACTACGGGTTAGACAATACGCCCCCTGGCTCGTTAATAATGACGTTATGCCTAGTTAGATAGATCAGGGTCTTCTGGATCTTTCAAGGTCCGCATAAGCTCAGCTGTTGCCAAAGATATGTTGCGATTTACGATTGCCGGGCTGGGCGTCATATATGATTTATAGGTTCGATAGCCGATTAGGAATCCGAATTTTTACATAATAAGGGCTGCTTTAAAGAAATTTGTTAAAGCCATACAGCGCTAGTGGTGGCTACCTTCAGACTTCTCTTGATTAAGAACTGTTGTTGCTCGCATACTTTTCTATGAGATCGCGCAGAGAGAACAAGAGGTTGATAATAACACATTCAAGAGTAGTTTTATTATCTACTCTTGAAGAGAAGGATACTCCCGGCGATGAGATCAGCAGCCGATGAAAGGATAGTGCTAAGAAGACTCAATATTTATCATGCTAGTTCGCGTGAGGGCGGCTGCTGTAATATCTTGCAGGACGAGAAAACGCGTGACAAGTGGACGGGGCGGGCTGAGCCACATAAATAAATGTAAACCCGAGCGAGGCAAGCATGTAATTGTTGCGGCGCCTGGCCTGGTTCACATATATTGTGACGCGGGAGATGCCTGCCGCGACAAACGTAAGTCCGTGTGGTTATTAATGGCAATATTATCGAGGTATAGAGTGAGAGACTGATATTTCGGTATAGCATTTCAACTGTAATAGATATTAGCTCTCGTCACTCTCGGACTAAATTATTGCGACTGTAATAACGCACTGAGGCTACGTTTGTCTGTTATTCATAGTGAATACGCATGCGAGGGTCTAGGCTCTAAGCCTATGTTTCACAATGTATGAGACCTCGCACGGCGTACTGCCACTATACAACGAAACAGAACGTCCCGGCACACACGCGTACACGCGATCGCACGGGCAACGGCACGCACACACACCAGTCACACACACACACTACACACACACACACAGGCACAGCTACAAACACACAGGCGTCCACACATTGAGGGGAAAGAGGGGGAGAAGACAAGAAGAGAGAGAGAGAGAGAGAGAGAGAGAGCAGAAAACAGAGAGCGAGAGAGAGAGAGAGAGAGGGAGAGAGACGAGAGGGAGAGAGAGAGAGCAGAGAGAGAGAAGAGAGAGAGAGAGGGAGTAGACGAGAGAGAGAGACGAGAGAGTAAGAGGAAGACGAGAGGAGACGAGAGAGAGAGAAGAGCGGCTAACGGACGATTGCGCTAAAATGCATCGGCGCTCGTATGATGATCCAGGGGCTGGGTAACGGAGCCAATTCAGAAGTCACGAGAATAAGCTAGGTAACTCTACAGAAGCTAGGTAACTATAAAATGAGTACGCCTGGTACCGCTGTACAGCATCGACGCCGTGGGAGCCAAATATGGGCTTGTAGTGGGCCTGCGCTTTGTATGCGAATAGGATTCTAATATGGATGCTTAGCGGCAATAAAACTAATAATATAGGAATGATTCATTAGTTAATGGTGAAGCAGATCCGGTCTACAGTGTGTGCTACAGCTTTTGACTCGCCGAGCTGCCGTTCTGGTGTGTGGAGGCGCGAAGCAGCGGCACGGCGACAACGGGCACATGATACGCAGCACGAGCCGGCGTCACCGCACATGCACACTCACACGCACGTACCGCACGGAGCACAGACGCGCGCGTGAAGGCCAAGCAACAAATCTGCACATCCACACGTGCATGCACGCACGGGGTGATAGCGCCGGGGATCTCCCGCAGCAGCAGCGCAGTAAGCACTACACGGGCGTGAATTATTGTAAATGTGAAACAAGTCGTCTGTCGCTGAAGTCTCAAGCCGTGGCTTAGAAGACGCGCGGGCCGCGTAGCGTAGGCCTACGTAGGCCCGACGGCCGTCCCACATTAACGGGCAAGAGGTGGCGGCGGCGCGCATTGCGCCCCCCGCCTGTGATCAACGAACGATTCGGATGTAAACTTAAGATGCCATCGCTGAGACTTGCCCTCCCGCAGTTTTACGATGTGGTAATGACTGTTCCTCGCCACTGGCACGTGGCGTAGCTGGCTAGAGTGGCGGATCAGCTGAGTACGCAGCTCGGCATTCACGCCGCCGCTCTGGGTCCGGGTTAACTGTCCCGTAGTAGCCGCCAGCAAGGTGCTGACGGGTCTGCAGCAGCGTACGCTGCGCACCATCAAGCAACTGGGACGGGTCTGCTACGGGGGTCAGGCAGTGACGTAACGGTCGATTCCAGCTCAACTCCTCCTAGGAACGGTGCTGTTCGTTCGAATCGCGTCTGCGGCGAAAGTTGTGCCATCTGTTGAAGTCACAGACGATAATTGAAAGGAGTGATCTGATTATGATGACGCTGCTTCTGCGCTGGCGCAGTTGTGAGTAGTTCGTTCAGTGACGGATCAAGCGCATACGTATTGTGGAAGAAACTGCTGTTAGGAGCATTGTTTGCGTGTAGCGCGGCGTCGCAATACACTTCAAATTCAATTATAGTTAGCAAATAACTACTGAAATTCTAGAAATGGTAGCCGGCGTTTATCGGTGGTCCAAATAGTGTTTTTGTGGATGCTGCGCCAGTAATTCGTAGGCGGCTATCACGATAGCTATGCAAGAGTGAATTAAAGCAATAATTGTGTTTTTAGGCTCAGCCTGACGAAGTGCAGATGCAGCTGTGTAGACTCGCATGAAGATGCCTGGCCGTCGGTGCCGTGCGTCCGATCCGTCGCTGTTCCGTCGGCGTCGCGTGGCCCGTCCTCTCCGTTCGTGCCGTCCGTCCGTGCGGTGGCTGGAGGCTCTAACAGTGGTACTGGCAGCAAAGTCAATAACCGCGCGACGTACGATCGTCTTGATATTCGGGACGTCGGGGGGGGGGGAGGTCGGCGAAAGAGGAGCTCGGGATGTGCGAATTTGGGTCAAGGGTCAAAGGTCAGATGTGTTTCATGGACGGGCGCATATATTTCGCCCTTAAGCTTAAGGTATCGGAGAAATACGGGAATTGCCGGCACGAAATCTCCCACGCTCGTCGACTACGCTTCTTAAGTAGGTTCGATCGTTATAGTGTCGATGGGAGGAAACAGTTCATCACCACGCGAAATTGGACGGGTTCACAGGTCAAGCGGGGCAGTGGGGGAAACGGTCAAGGTATCAGACCTTTGTTCCTGAGAACTTGGTCTACGGACCGCGAGTTGCAAATATTTTGTTTGCAGTCGCTGAGCCTACCATTTATATTATCACTTTATTGAAAGAGGACCGTGAATCTACTTTCCGCGCTGACAGCAAGTGCGAAGAGTAAGTGTCTGATAAGCCTTTTGAGCCCTCACAGCAGGAGGATTAAAACATTGGATTTTGTTGGATTGTTAGCGCAAAGGAGCTCGAACTGCTTTTGCTATTGAGAGCCCAGCGCTGCCCGCCGCCCTCCCGCGACGGCAACTCCTGCAGCTGCGCTCGCGCATCGCATGTGCGGTAGCAGGCTTTTGGGCGCTGACGGGGTCATTTCTGCCAGTTATTGCAAGTTGCCTGTAGTCGATAACGAGGCCTGATGCGAAACGCCAGGGTTGAGCTGGCGTAGCAGGCGGTAGATAGTGTAGTGAAGCGATACATACGCCTGGTATGCATAGCGAGGTTAAGGGGACTCTACGCTACACCCTATAAGGCACGTCGAGTTTGAGGCGGCTGTCGCTGCTGGCGGGCATCTTGTTATTCACTGCTGGGTGCTTGTTAGAGTACGTGCTCCTGGATCTTGAGTAATTAATATACACATACGCGAGAAGTGATCCGCATGCGATTATTGGTGTGATATTTTCAATGCATTGAATAAGCTAAACAATATATTAACGTTTAGCTCGCAAAAGCGAGCGGGTCACGAGNAGAAGGATATCCCGCATGAGATCAGCACCATGAAAGGATAGTGCTAAAACTAATATTTATCAATGCTATTCGCTGAGCGGCTGCTGTAATATCTTGCGGGAGAAAACGCGTGACAACGGGGCGCTGAGCCACATAAATAAATGTAAACAGAGCGCAAGCAGTACATTGTTCCGCTGGCCTGTTCACTATATTGTGACGCGGGAGATCCTCCGCGACAAACGTAGTCCGTGTGTTATTAATGCAATAATTATCGAGAGTATAGAGTGAGAGACTGATATTGTAAGCA